CAGTGAACTATGATCTTAAGACCACGAATCATCACCGCGAGGTCTCAGCTGAAGGGTTCAGAATCCTATAGGTTTTAAGACAGACCTTCGCCAGGTTAGGTATTCACAACCTTGGTAAGTCCGAAACTTGAAAATTGCATTCAGGCTGCTAGCCCCTGCTTAAAAGATGACTAGGATATCCTGGATGAAGTAAAAAGTGCAGCTACCTGTGCAATCTCAGAACTCTGGGGCTTGCTATAAAAGGAGCAGCCTGAAAAACTAGACCTCTTTACTCCGTCATTGAGCAGCTTAAGACGTGGTCTGATTTTGATGTATAGAATGCTGAGAAGTGATTTTGGACATCATACATCCTCCTTTTTCTTCCTACAAGACCAAGACAACCCAGAGAACATAGTAGGCAAGTACAACTGCTAAGAACGAAAAAGCTGTGTCATAGAGGTTTTCACACCAAGTCATCAGATCTTGGAACCTGTTACCTAAATAAGTAGCGTCCACTTCTCCAGTTGATTCATTTGGAACGAGACTAGGCACTCTCAGAAGCTTGTTAGAAAAATACTGGCACAAGCCATATGCTTTCTATCCTTAACAGACAAACCTGAATGGGAATTCTGTTCAGTTACTCCTCTGTAGCATATATATTTAATCAAATGAGCCATCAATGACGTCATTTAAAAGTAATTTTGGCGTGACCCGAATTATTAAATAAGGCATTCATGCTAGACTAAATAAATTGCGTAGGTGTTTACCACTCGGCCGTCATATCATTCAGCTTTGTCAGCAAAACGGAGCTACGATATCCTACTAGAAAAAATCGCTGGAACTTCAAACGGTTGAATGTGTTTGCTTTACAGGACTATCTACAACAGGTGGATTGGGATGTTCACCCTCAAATTGAAGTGGATGCTCATTGGGATTTTTTACTGCACACGATCTTATGTGCTACTGAGCATTCAGTTCCTAAAATGGTCCCAAAAAGCTACAAGCAACCTCCAATCATCAAGAACCGCACTCGTCGTTTGCTAAGCCGCAAAAGGCACTGTTGGGCTGAATATAAACGAACTGATAACAACGGCGCGTACAGGCAATACAAACATATAAGGAACATATGCACAAAGGCAATAAGAGAAGACAGGCTTCAGTTCCAGACCAAGCTTATCGATAGATTCGTATCCAATCCGAAAAGCTTGTTCAGTTATGCAGCTTCTCTTCGACAAGGCAAAACTGGAGTTTCCCAACTGCTTGGTCCTAATGGCCCGACCAATAACGACAGTGATACCGCTAACCTTTTGGCTGAACATTACTCCCGGACATTCCAACTGACCCACATCAACCATACTGACGAAAGCTTCACCTGCACCTCTACAGGACTTTCCGAAGTGGACCTGAGTGCTGACCTGGTGCCCCGTAAACTGCAGAACCTAAAAAAAGACACTTCTCCTGGTCCGGACATGGTTCATTCCACCGTATTGAGGGAAGCAGCTTCAATCCTGGCGACACCACTTAGCGTGATGTTTGCACACTCGCTAAGCAGAGGCAAACTACCGGAAATATGGAAGCTGGCCCACATCACACCAATTTTCAAAGGAGGTCGACGCAGTGAACCCCCTAGCTACCGACCAGTGGCTCTTCTCTCCATACCTTCAAAAATTATGGAATCCCTAGTATTCGACGGCATACTAGAACACTTATCATCCTCAAAGTTCTTCTCGCCTCAACAGCATGGTTTCAGAAAAGGTCATTCTTGTATGACCAACCTGCTGACTGCGGTGGATAGATGGACAACCATCCTTGATCGCAAGGGGAAGGTTGACGTCATTTACCTGGACTTCTCAAAAGCTTTTGATAGGGTCAACCATGCATGTCTTATCAAGAAGCTTGGACGATTGAGTATAAAACCTCCTTTGATTGATTGGCTCTCTTCATATTTAGAAAACCGACACTTTAAGGTCAGGGTTAACTTCACTCTCTCTCAGGCTATGGAATGTCCTAGTGGGGTCCCCCAGGGTTCAATACTAGGACCTCTTCTCTTCTTGATTTATATTAACGATCTTCCTCAACAAGTTTCATCTGACTTATTGCTTTTTGCTGATGATGTGAAGCTTTGGAGAGAGATAAGTAATCATAATGATATACTAGTTCTTCAGGACTTGAATCGACCAGCCCCACTGAACCCACCCAACATCGAAGCAGCACCCATGGACCTCCCAATCGATATTGGCCCACCAACAATTGAAGAGATCAGCATGGCCATTAGACAAGTCAAGAGTGGCAAAGCAGCGGGACCAGACAACATCCCGGCAGAGGCACTGAAAGCAAATGTAACAGCAACTGCCAGGATACTACACATCCTCTTCAGTAAGATTTGGGACGAAGAACAAGTACCAACAGACTGGAAATAAAGACTTCTGATCAAGATATCAAAGAAAGGCGATCTCAGCAAGTGCGACAACTACAGGGGCATCACTCTTCTCTCAATACCAGGAAAAGTCTTCAACCGAGTATTGTTAAACAGGATGAAGGATTCCGTAGATGCCCAACTTCGAGATCAACAAGCTGGATTTCGTAAGGATAGATCGTGCACAGATCAAATCTCAACTCTGCGGATCATTGTGGAACAATCAATCGAATGGAATTCATCACTCTACATCAACTTCATCGACTACGAGAAGGCATTTGATAGCGTGGACAGGACGACAATATGGAAGCTTCTTCGACACTACGGCGTGCCTGAGAAAATAGTAAATATCATACGGAACTCCTATGATGGACTAAACTGCCAAATCGTCCACGGAGGACAACTCACCGACTCGTTTCAAGTAAAGACCGGTGTCAGGCAAAGTTGCTTACTCTCACCCTTTCTCTTTCTCCTGGTCATCGACTGCATCATGAAGACGTCAACATCTGGAGGAAATCACGGGATACAATGGACAGGCAGGATGCAGCTTGACGATTTAGACTTCGCGGACGATCTGGCTCTTCTATCACAAACGCAACAACAAATGCAGGAGAAAACGACCAGTGTAGCAGCAGCCTCAGCAGCAGTAGATCTCAATATAAACAAAGAGAAAATCAAGACTCTCCGATACAATACAATATGCACCAATCGAATTACACTTGGCGGAGAAGCTTTGGAGGATGTGGAAGCCTTTACATATCTGGGCAGCATCATTGATGAAGACGGTGGATCAGATGCAGATGTGAGGGCGCGGATCGGCAAAGCAAGTGCAGCATACCCACAACTGAAAAACATCTGGAGCTCAAAACAATTGTCAACCAACACCAAGGTTAGAATTTTCAATACAAATGTCAAGACAGTTCTATTGTATGAGGCGGAGACGTGGAGAAATACGAAAGCCATTATCCAGAAGATACAAGTGTTCATCAACAGCTGTCTACGAAAGATACTTCGGATCCGATGGCCAGACACTATCAGCAATAAGTTACTGTGGGAGAGAACAAACCAGATTCCAGCAGAGGAAGAAATCAGGAAGAAGCGCTGGAAGTGGATTGGGCACACCTTGAGGAAATCAGCTAATTGCGTCACAAGACAAGCCCTCACATGGAATCCTGAAGGTCAACGGAGAAGAGGAAGACCAAAGAACACATTACGCCGAGAAATAGAGACAGACATGAGAAGAATGAACAAGAACTGAATAGAACTAGAAAAGGAAGCCCAGGACAGAGTGAGTTGGAGAAAGCTGGTCGGCGGCCTATGCTCCATTGGGAGTACCAGGCGTAAGTAAGTAAGTAAGTTCTTCAGGAGGATCTGACCCGACTTCAAAGTTGGGCAGACGACAACGGACTTACCTTCAACACTTCAAAGTGCAAGGTAGTCCATCTGAGACATGTTGCAGACTATAGTTATAACTTAGGTAACTCACCTCTAGAAGTTTCCCAAGTTGAAAAAGATTTAGGAGTGTTGGTACCCTACGACCTGAAATCGTGTGCGAACTGTGACAAAAACGCCTCTCAAGCAAACCTTGCACTGGTAACATTGAAGCGCATTTTTGGCCAGTTTGACGGTAGAACCTTCCATATAATCTTCAACAGTTTTATTCGTCCCCACTTAGAGTACGGAAACCTAGAATTTCCTCCCTCCCTCCAAAAGGATAAGGTCACTCTGGAACGTATACAACGTCGAGCCACGAAATCAGTTCGGGGACTCAAATTCAAACCTTATGAAGAGCACCTCAAATCACTTAACCTTTACCCGTTAGAGTATAGGCGTCTTAGAGGTGATCTTCTTATGACTTACAGTATCCTTAATACTTCTGGTCATCCCCTTAAACAGCTTCTTAAGCTTAGTCATAACACTAACCTCAGAGGTAACACCCAGAAATTGGAGACCCTACATAGCAGAACAGACTGCAGACACAACTTCTACTCCGTTAGAGTTGTCAAGTTCAAATGGTTCAAATGGTTGAGGACGGAATAGAAGAAGCTTTCGCTTAACGGGCTTCCGTGTCTGGTAGCAGTGGATCAACAATACCTCCAGGTAAGAACCTAGGTATATGAACGATAATAGAGGAAAAAAAGTTTGGTAAATCATAAAAATATGTTATCCTTAGTCCTTAAGAATAAGTCAAGTGTAGGGTCACTGAATACCGAGCAGATCATTGATCCCTGTCAAGTGCTGGAATTCGCTGCCGACTGAGCTAGTCCAAGCGACCTCCCAGGAGTCCTTTAAGAGGAAACTTGTGTAAGATCATCTACGTTGATGATCTATGTCAAAATGATTGGGGGCCTACTATAGTTAGACGAGAATGGGGACGAACCAACTAACGCTGAAGTCATACCTCGCGACCAGCCCTTACGTGGATTGAACCATCGACGCATCAAAGGTTAATGGATGCTATGGAGACTGTACAACACAAAAGACGTTATTACAAGAATATATTAGTTAAGGTACAACTATGGAAGTACAGAAGTGAAAGATTGACCACTGCCGCGCGGGCCAGTCCATGGCGCACAATTGATTTGTGCGCGTTGACTATCCTTGACCTTGACAGGGATCAATGATCTGCTCGGTATTCAGTGACCCTACACTTGACTTATTCTTAAGGACTAAGGATAACATATTTTTATGATTTACCAAACTTTTTTTCCTCTATTATCGTTCATATACCTAGGTTCTTACCTGGAGGTATTGTTGATCCACTGCTACCAGACACGGAAGCCCGTTAAGCGAAAGCTTCTTCTATTCCGTCCTCAACCATTTGAACCATTTACTACTTGCACCTTTGAAAGCTGTCTCAAGGTCAGTCAAACTATAAGTTTGTTACTCTTATGAATATATATATATATATATATATATATATATGACTTAAAATACTGCACATGTGAGAACTTATCATTTCGTCTCTCAGTAATCTTGGAACTTTTTGAATCTAAAAGCAAGCTCAATACCTGATTTCTTGCTGTACAGCAAACAACGTTGTTTTAGTCTTCAGTAATTAGGATAGGAGGTCTAGTGACCTATTTTAATCCTTGCAGTTTGTTACACTGTGGAGGTCCAATCTCGTCTTGAATATATCAACAGGAGGTGCTGATATTACGTGTTCTGGTAGAGAATTCCAGTAATTCACTACTCGGTGCGAGAAACGAAACTCCAGACATAGACGATTTGATCTCGGTTTTTGGACTTTCTTTGAATGTCCTCTCAAATGACCAGCCCTAGACGGGAGGAAAAGATAGGACATGTTAGTACCAAGGTCATCGTTCAGGATACGATATGCCAATATTAGATCACCCCGTATTCGCCGGTAAGATAACGGAAATAAGTTGAGGTGTCTCAGTCTGTCTTCATAAGATAGGCCTTTTACCATTTTTGTCCCGCGGCGTTGGACTCGTTCCAACATATCCACCTCATATTTGAAACAAGGACTCGCTGCTTGAATCCCATATTCCAAATGTGGCCGTACGAAAGTTGGGTATAATAATCTAAACATTTCCCCATCCAGATACCGGAAAGATCTACGAATAGACCATAATACCCTATAGCCTTTTGCAGCAGCAGCCTTACAGTGACTGGTTGTTTTGAGATCATTACTTAGTATGACTCCTAAATCTTTATAGTTTCTTACTTTGGGCAACACTAGTCCACATAATGTGTAGTGATACGAATCATCGTAGTTATTTAATTGCATAACTACACTTTTATTAGGGTTTACTTCTAGTCACCACCCGTTCATCCATACCACTAATGAGTTAAGATCTTCCTATAAAACTATTCTGTTTGACGTGTTATATATGGGTCTCCAAATCTTAATGTCATCGGCGATTAGTAGGACGGATGACTTAGCTATAGCTGGTTATTCATTTATATAAAGTAAAAAGAGAAGAGGACCTAAAATTGTACCTTGGGGGACTCCACTTTTTACTAGTTCCCACGATGAGAGAGCCCCATTTACTCTTACCATTTGTCTCCTTCCATGAAGAAAGTCACTTATCCAGTCTATGACTGCATAATGAATTCCAAAATTTTCCAGTTTTAATTTAAGACCAGAATGGGAAACCTTATCAAAGGCTTTACATAGATCTATGAAAATGAAATCTACAGGAATATTGCGATCTTTTGCGTCAGCCCAATCTTCTATTGCAATGAGAAGTTTTGTCAAACATGATAGACCTTTTCGAAAACCATGTTGTTCCTTGGACAAAAGATCATGTCTTTCCACGTAGTTTATAACAGCCATCCTAATAATTTTTTCCATTAGTTTTACAACTGCACTAGTTAAGCTGACGGGTCGATAGTTACTAACTAAATCCCTACTCCCAGCCTTATACACCGGACTGATTATTGCGTCTTTCCAGTCTCTGGGCAATCTGGACTGCCGCAGGGACATATCAAACAGTATTGCCAAGGGTTCAGCAATAACATCTGAGAGGGCTTTCATAATCCGAGGATGAATATCATCAGGACCACTAGACTTATCAGGTTTGAGATGCTGAAGTAGCCTTAAAACAGTTTCTTTCTTAATAACTACAGGGTCCATCAACAAGTCGCCACAATCACAATGAATAGGTGATCGTTCCTCATTATTGGTAGAAAAAACTTTACTGAAATATTCCGAAAAAGCTTCCGCTTTTTCGTTATCATTTCTTGCCAAACTTAACGGATTTTCTTGTATCAAAAGTGATGGTATTCCATCACTTCTCTGAGTTCGCCTCTTTATATACGAGAATAACCGTTTTGGACTATGTTTGCAATCCCTAACCAATTGTTTTTCGTATGACCGTCTAGTCCTACTAATTAACGCTTTACAAGTATTTCTAATCTTACAATAACCGGATCTGTACTGTTCTAAGCCAGTAGAGATGAACATGTTCCAGTGTTTTTTTCGACGCCTAAGGAGTTTCTTAACTTCTTTATTTATCCACGGTGGACTATTGTTCGGTCTACGTGGCACCAAGTATGGTATAAACGGGGACGTGACTGCACTAAACTTGCCTTTAAATACAGACCACGCCTCATCAACTGATGAGCTAGTATCTACTGACCAATCTATCTTAGTAGCACAATCCTGAATGGCTGGTATGTTAGCTCTCCAAATGTTTGGGCGAGGCTTAATCTGATCGTATATCATGTCGCTAGCTCTAAACGTGAGTGATAAAACAGTGTGATCGCTATTCACTAACGGGGGAAGAATATTTAGGTTGGCAATATCCTCAATCTCATGGGTAATTACCAAGTCCAACAGAGAAGAACCTTGGTTTACACCAAAACGTGTAGGTTTGGATATATGCTGTACTAATGCATGTTCCATTACTCTTTCCAAGAGCCTGCTATCAAATGGGTTTATAGAGCATTTCGTGGTCATCTCAGTCCAACTAATGTCAGGTGCATTAAAGTCTCCTAATATCAAGCATCTGTTATTTGCACTCCATAGCCGAATGTACTCTAAAATAAAGTCATCAACTAAGCAGATTGGGCTGCGATAGATGACACCAAGTGCAAATGTACAACATCCGACAGTGAGCTCACAGCTAATGACTTCACTAGTTCCACTATCATGGGATTCGCACAGAGGAGCGGATATTTATACTATTGGCTATGTATAGAAGGACGCCACCTCCTTTCCTGCATCTATGTCTATCACTTCTTAAACAATGATATCCGGATAATTCTGGGGTGATATCGAAGTCATGGACTAACCAAGTTTCCGTCACAGCTACAATGAGTGACCTTAATTTGTCCACTAATGCTCCTAGCTCGTAGAATTTATGTCTTAGACTACGGGCGTTGGCATATAAAACTCCTAGGGAGAACGACCTATCCACACAGGCCTTGGTAGCATTCGCTTCCAAGACCTGACTATTCGAAAACCCACCAATCGGAGATTTTCTTCACCGTTTTGTCGACGGGTTTCTAGTTCAGCTAGTGCCGTCTTCCTTTTTATTCTATCTTCAAGAGACACATCTGGTCTAATTCGAATGTCAGAGTTGTCGTGACTTCGAGCGTTACTTAACAGAAGATCACGTTGTTTCTCCGACCCTAAGATTACCTTAAGGAGTCTACACGGTCGGGGTAGAACACTGTCATCGGCCCTTTTACCTATTCTAACTAATTTTTTGACCTGAACACCTTTAGTGTTATCTGATAATATGCTACGGATATATTCTCCGAGCCTCTCTAAGTCATGGGTGTGTCTAACCTTAGGATCTGGATCGTTAGACTCTGGCAATTTACTCACAATAATATTCGATGATATTAAATTCCTCTCAGTCGCACTAGGATGATGTTCTGCCGTTCTATCAGAGTGCGATAGTGCATTGAGTGACTCAGACTGCGAGTTCATCAATGACTTGTCAACCAAGTGTGCTTTATTTTTAGCTTTTTTTCCTTTTCTTTTCCTCCTTACTGCGGTCCATTTTACGTCATTCAGGACAGCTGCATCGGGACTATTGGGGACGGTGACAGTTCTATCCGGGTCCTCAATTTCTACTGCAGATGCATAATTGGCAATACCATGTGATGATTTACTCCTCGTTTGTTGTAACGGAAGTTTCACTTTGTCATTAATTAGAGTAGGTTTTTTAGCGCGTTTTGTAACAGCACTTACAACACTGACACAGTCTTCACTGTCAGTACTTGCGTTACTAGCGCACCCACTATCGTTCTTTTTACAGGCTAGAGCCAATAGGCTCATAGCATCCTGGATTAATATCGTCTTGTTAGTACAGCGGAACACACAAAGCCAGTGCGAGTTAGGCTTAGAGCATCTTTTGTATGCAGCTGGACTGAGACGGGTACACATCTTGTGGAACCACTTTCTGCATTCATCACACTGTATCCCTTCATCTACGGGGAACGAACAGTTTGGCTGTCCACATTTGAATGCACTGCCAACCATTGTAATCAGATTAGGTTTAAAATACAATATGATCACAATAATAACACAAGTCTCAGAGTATATGCAAAAGAAGGAAGCACGAGACAAAGCTTTCAATAAAATTTCAAACCTTAACTGAATAAATTCAAGTTAAAGTGGACCAAGAATGCTTTTGATGCAACAAATACACAAAAGCAACGATAATCACAACAAGTACGAAAGTCACTGCCCTTTTTGCAATATTATATCCATTATATTCGTATTCCTCTTTCGCAATCAAAGCACGGACTTGTTTCTGATAGACTAAAACTAAGCTAATAAATTTAAGTGGTCTGAAAGATTAGAATAATCATATTGAAAGACGACAATTGTTGTCTGTAGTTTAAACCCCAAAGCTTTTCATATCTGACTGAGGTATAAAATATCCATAGTAAAATTGGAAAAGACGAGGAATAAAGCAGAAACTATCAACACTTAAATTCCCAATATTACAGACTGGGAATATGAAGGACTAAAGACACTACTTCAGTGGTACATAATTCTGTATCGAAGAAAATAACAGACGGACTGTTCGTTTTGTGCTACTCAGATGAAATCAAATTGATAGAAAGACAGACTCGAATTCTCATTATACATAAACTGAGATTGTTATATTTGATTTAAAAACTCGTAGCCAAACATTAACGAAATATTTGCTGGTAAAGTCGCTTCGGAGGACTGTCACATATGCTGCGATGACTCGTAAAGTTTAGTTTATTGGTGGAGTATTTTTATGTTAGGTGTCTGAACTACTGGACAGAAACTGCGCTTTTAACACAAAGTAAGAATAACGTAAAATGGTCGGCCTCTTTCTCCTGGATGCATTTATATGATGTATTTTTTTCAAACGCATCAAGCAAATTGATATTAAACTGTTGTATACTCATATTTCGCATGTGACTCTGATTTCAGATGTCTTTGAATGTCATTAACCAGATTATATCACAGTTGACAAGCCACGGAACATTTAACCAGGTTTTCAGAGGAATCCAAGCTGTTTCACTAACAGATAACTGCCTAACATGTAGATTCAAAGTTACAAATTCTGAAGCCAACTCACTAAACACTTTACATGGTGGATACATCCTTGGGGCTATCGATTTTATAACTTCTGTCGATCTGATGAGATTAGGGTGTATGAAACACGTTAGTATTAATCTTGAAGCATCGTAAGTCATTGTATATGTATATATTCTAACTAAAAATTATCGAAGATTTATAAACCCAGGAAAATTGGATTCATGGATTCGGTCAGATTCATATATACTGAAGAAAGGGAACCGTATAGCCTTCTGTGAAATCAAATTCGTGAACGAACAGTCAGGAGAGCTAGTTGCACGTGGGACTCACACAAAATACATTATAGGAGAGGGAAACCTATCTCATAAGAAGTAGCAGTGTCAACTTGTTTCTTCAATCCTTCTCTTGCTTTACTATATGTCACGGTTGGTTAGAATAAATCAGTAGAACGTTTGCTTTTCCAATCCAACTTTTCGATAGCTGATTGATTGTACATGTATAAGTCAAGTTATAATCATTCATAAAACTTAAAAGCCTATCTTTTACTTTTAAACGCAACATCTACATTTTACTCATAAAGGGGAATTTAAATTGACCATTCAGATAATATGCATTACAGATACTTCACTTTTATAAAACTGCTGATATATACATATCTTTATGCATCAACCCAGGGTTCAGATATGGCAAAAGCAAGTGGTAATCGCATAACTATGGTCTTTCTTTTTACAGGAATTACTAATGTATGTGAGATAGTTCCTTATTACAGAGGCGAAATGCAGTCATTTGGGTGAAAAATCGTGGTTATGTTTTGTATCTGGTGAGTGATAGCGAAGGACTGGTCAGCTCATATACTTAGATTGATGATAGGAAATAAACTAATCGAGTATTTCCAAGTTCTTAAATTGCGTTAACTAGTTTACGTATATACGGTTGTGGCCAGTTATTAAAAAACAAGTCTCACTTTGAGAAGTATACTCAGTAGTTGTAGAGTATAAGAGCTGGACACAGATCTAAGTTGCAAGTATTCCGTTTTAAATTATTGCACAAATGTGGTAGAACAACATCAATCAGACGACAGTTATGCGTAAGAAGCGACTTAGCCAGTGTGACTGAGTAATCCGTTATGTTTGTCGTCACCATTCTACTTAAACGAATTACGCTGGTAAAGCGTTTAGACCGTGTAAAAAACTAATACCACTCATTTACACTTATTTTCAGTTTACGCACGGCAAATTTACAGATTACCGAGAAAGCTGATGCTCAAAACCTATCAAGAGTGTCTGAATTTGTCCACTCCCCATTTGTCAGTTTTTGAACAAACTACTGCTATTCTAGATGAGGAAAACAGTGAAGCAATGTGGATCCACATATTCTCAATCCAAAAACCCCTCGCCAGACATGTTTGTGATTTATTTTGCGGTGTTGAGACAATTAACTAATTACACTGATATTACAAAAATATGCTGTTCTCCCTTGTGTACGCAATACTAGTACGGATTATAAGTGTACGTTCAAAATCCAAGTGACAGCTAGCATTGTGAAAAAGTAGTTTACACAAGTTTAATATACATAAAGCATTTATTAAGAGTGTAAAAATGTAACTGGAGAAGAGCAGCATCAGTGCTGCTCAGACTGTACAAGGACTGTTTAATTCTGGGCTACCACCGATTGTATCCAGTCCATGGTGGTTTGGTTCGAGAAGGGTCTTGTCGGGGATATTTTCTCATATGATCAGGCGGTTGACCACCAGGTCCCATTGGAGGTGGACGTTTATGTGGAGGGACAAAGTTAGGAGGGAGTGGATGTCGGGGATCAGGATAAAAATCTGGATGCGGCGGCCTGTGTTCTCGCGGAGGACGTCTAGGTGGACCCTGGGGATAGTCGAACCGATCAGGAGTGTTTCTGTTATCCGGCCATCTCCTACCCCAACTATCTTCATCATAGTTCTGCCTCATTGGCGGAGGTCGATCACCTCTTCGGTCGTACGGATATTTCTCCACATTAGGAGAAAATGGTCGACCTCTTTCTCCTGGATGCATTTGATCGCTAGGAATCACATTACGATTATGATGGCCATGTGATGATCCACTGTTGAAACCACCAGGGGGTCCATTATAGTAATTGTCATTTTCAGGGAAAGGCCGGCTAAACTGTTCGCTGTGTTCATGATCTCTGTAATCTCTGTCTTCTCTATGCCTGGGAAATGGCTTTGGTTCCAAAAAGTTCTCTTGTTCGTTATACAGTTGTGGAGGCCCACTAAACGGCTCGCGATATAGATTGTTTGGTTGTTCTGTTTGTAAAGGTACGTTGTGTTCAGTTTGTAAAGGAAATTCTTCATTTCGTTGATTCCAGTTTAATGATGGGTCTAAAACAATAGTTGAACGCAATGCGATTCGTAAGCGCAGAAATAATAATACAAATTTCCTAGTTTTGATCTAGTAAGCTAAGCAGATATCATACAAGTAAAATAACTTTATTATGTAGCATTTGAATACAATATGAAGTATGGATGCTGTTCGTGTCATGAGATATATAAAATCCAACTTATCACCTAGTATCAATCCCAAGAATAGGAAATGTTTTAGGCACACTAAACCACAAACAAAAGCAGATTACACGTCAGTTATATACTAGTAGGAAAAGTCGGTTAGCATTTCATAAATGCTTACACAATAATATAAGAGGGACATCCAGTCTCATTACCATTTGGCAATTAAAGTCTTAACTATCTAATACATGGACAATTTGAATGATTATGTCAGTCAGTTAGTCAGCTACAACGAAGGATCAGGCACATATATGCATCGCCCCAAGTTGCCATACCTCATTAGCACAACAAGATGAACACCGAATTCACAGAAGTAGTTAATTTAATGGTAGTAATATATAAGAGAAAGATTGCATATAAGGATATAGTACAGGAAGGAAGACAGATATGAAGCAATTTTAATCTCATAGTTTTAGAGAAGATAGAGTGTGTACACATACATCATTGTGATCGATTCTGAGCTGTCACATAGAGTCTCCGACCACTGGTCACGATAGTCATGCAGACCCCAACCAATTAGTCTGCACCTACCAACATGGCTCAGACTAGGAGTTAGTGACTTCAAGCACTGATGTCAAGTTTTAGTTTGGCCGACTCGGTGTTCAGATATACGTAACACGTGGCCGAACCATCTCAGTCGATGAAGATTCACAACCTCATCAACTGATCTACCATCATTTCCTAATACCTCACGATTACTTACCTGGTGATCCCAGCAGATGCGAGCAATTTTCTAAGGCATCTGTGGTCAAATGCTAGTAACTTACGAGTATCTTCTACCCTTAAAGGCCACGTATCGCAACCGTAAAGTAGAACAGAACGAACTACTGCGCAGTATACTCGTCCCTTAATAGATAGACGGATATCTCACTTTCGCCATAGGTTACGTAAGTTGGCAAAAGCCAAACGAGCTTTTTGAATCCGTGAAAAGGTTTCGTCATGCACCAACTCATTAGGGTTGATCAGACTTCCAAAATAAGTGGTGTCGACGCGCTCAACTACTTCACTCCCTATCCTTAGTCCATGTGTTGACGCAGGTCATTCCTGGAGCTACAATTTACCTCTAACAGCACTCAAGATTACTGAATGATTATATGCTAAGAAAGCTAAGACAACAAAGGTACCAATAACTATGATGTACTAGAAATATTCTGCATTGTTTTCTATGTATTACTTAAACTTGTGTTAATTCAGTTCCGTCGTTTATTTGCTCTGAAGAACTGGCTTACATTAAGTCACAAAACTTCAGAAATACGGTTTTTCTACTCATCGGGATATAACAAAAAATATATTTATTGAACATCATGTTTGTAATTTTAAAGATCGCCACTGCAAGTAGTTCTTGGTGTAATCTAAAAAGTTAACTGCCCCTGTGGAAACGAGACTAAACGGCAGTAGGTCTTATAGGTAACCTATATAACATCTGGATGCATAATTTCTAGTTACTTTTGTCTCACTTAATGCTATTTATTTCTCCTGATTTTCAAGGCATTGTACCATGAGGCACGAAGCAACGCGCTTTTGATGGTCTAGTGTTAGTAATAAAACTGAATCACAAATGTAGTTGCCTTTATAGTGCAAGCAGTGACTGTTCCAGATTGTTAAAATTTGCATAATTACATAACTTGAAGTTGGAATAGGGTGGGATCGATAATAATATTATATGATAATCCACTTTGTCAGAAAATATAAAAATTCAAATCACTCACTTGTATTATTTCTGATGTCTACATTGTGTTCAGGAATCGGTACATGTTGTTCCAAACCCCTCGGTGGCAGTGTTTCTGAGAAAGGTGGTTGGTCATACTTATGAGTGGAAACACCATTGCTCATCTCACCAATTGGTTGCTCAACAAAGGGTGTTTGGTTGGGCTTACAAAAACCTCTGTCTTGTATTTGATCTACTATAGCTTCCGGTTCTGATGGATCGATTGGGGCAGCCCTTTGCGCTAACCTTTCTTTATTCAAAGCAGGTGGTTTAACCGGGGGTAAATACTGCGGCGTTGCATTCAGATTGCTGACAGCGGCAGCCGCCGCTGCAGCTGCAGCAGCGATTGCTGATGGACTAGGTGTGGCCATCATTACAGTTGGCATTGCTGTGATCCGTGTACTTGCCCAGTTGGCAGCAAATTCCTTTGGAATAGTTCTAGAACTCCGGAGTTTGTTTTTCTCACGCTCTTCAGGATCATCAGTATCAGTTATGTTTAAATCTGTTACTGGTCCTTCATTAAGTCCGGGTATCTCAGTTGTGCTCAAGTCATTTGGATTAGTAGAAAATGCTAAATCATCAAGAGTATCTATCCGGTTGGAGGAAATAGGTGTCTCGGTGAGTAATTTAAACAGGTCAATATTAAGTGAATTATCAACAACTTCTGGGTCTCCAAATGAATATGTGTTAGCTAACAAATTCGTTGCACTAGCGGCTTGAACAAGGTTGTCTGAACCAACTGCACTGATTGTATCTTTGAGAACATCACCTGGACGATTGCGCGTCCAGAATTTTCTAGAAAGCAAGAGATGTTAAAAGATTGTAAGCTCTGAGTATGAAAAAACTGATAATACTAATCAATTTAAACCTGAAACACGATGGACTTCGCTGATGGATTATTCGCATTAACCAGAACATACTTTAAAGAAACGAACGTGACCTGAAGACGAAAACAGTAGAGTACAGACGCGAATGAAATGAAAGTTATTGCAACAAAGAATTTAACGGTTAAAGAAAAGAATGTAATTAAACGGTTTAAATGTGTTCATCATTTGTAGCTTCATAAAAACCTCACACCCTATGGGCTGTTGTGTTTCTTCAACTGATTTTTTACCTCGCTACCTGAGATGTCTTGAGATAACTAGCTAGGAAACTCACAGATCTATTACAAGACAAGAAGGGAAGTTATCTATAAGTTTTTAAGCTCTTGCAGTGTGAGGCTTTGACTACTTTACTGGTATTTCACCCGTCACCGAAAAAGAGAGGGACTGGTTAAGTTACATAACATTTCTCGGATATAATTATGGAGAATACAGGAACTTATTTAACAAGATGTTTGACATTATACACCAGTTATATACAGCTAATCACAATCCGTAGGTAAGTCAAATGTACACTACATCCAAAATGCTTTAATCGAACAAAAATATATAGGAAGTAATTATTTAATTACTAGGAAATATCAGTTACTAATTAAACACCAACCTTAATATCAGAAAAAAGAATGATCCTATAAATAAAGACATTGTTACAAGCTGTTCGAAACTGACAGTTCTATTCTGGTCTTAATCTCCAACTACCTCGACGGCCGATGTTGTTTGCCGCAAGAGTAGGTTGGGACAAAGCTAGGGGCGGCCAACCTAAGACATGTCACCAATCAGCTCATGAAGTCATCCATAACTGAACCGAGCTATGTTAACAGGTACAGACTACCTGATTGGGGTTCGCGTGATTATCGTAACCAATGGCTAAATATTTTAAACAACATGGCTCAAAATCATTTGCAGCGGTGCACATGCATTCACTTTTTGTCTTTCCTTAGATCCCAAATATCTAAATTCATCATAATCATTTTATTTCATCAATTTATATTTTCTTGAATCGTGTCTTCGATGCCTATTCATTTTTTAATTACCACTAATATCGTTACTAGCCATACTAATATGGGATTTACATGAACAATTTCATCTTACTGTGCTTATGTAATATAGCGATTTGAACCGATTTACACACGTACCGGGTTTTTGTTTGAGTTTGGCCGACTAACTCTGATCTTATTGGTTCGATTAAGTCACTCTATGTTACAATGGTATTTTATTGCATAAGAACTATAAATGATGAATCATGTCATTTTGAAAAGTACTTACGTGGCAAAATCATTTGCCCCAGAAACTAAAATATGTCCAAATGGATGCCAAGCGAGACTCCAAATCATGCTTTCATGGGCGTTGTCTACAGCTCCAAGTTCAGTGTCCGTCCTATTCAGGTGAATAACGATATAAATTTTAAAATCAACAAGCTTTACAAACTATCAGTATAGAAACTAGTCACTGCATTTAATTACTTTTCACTTAAGTTTAACAGATATTCACTGGTTGGCGCAGTTAAAAATATCTGGAGTAGTATAGCACGTATACTATGCAATATCTATTGACATAAAGCATTGGATTTTGATGAGTGAATTGTAATATAGACTCTCAGCTTTGTATAAACAGCGTTTTATTAGTCTAATGCTCACAAAGTTACATTACAAATCATTTATAGTAAACTAGACTGTCAAAAGATTAACTACAGAAGCAAAACAATTTTTCGTGCTGTAACATAACGAAAACATAATATAATCGCAAGAAATCAGATAAGCGTTGCTCATCAGAAACTTTATAAGCGGGATTTCACAGCTGTGCATCAACTTGATTTTTAAGATAAACGGTTTCTGATAACTCCCTCGGATGATAAACCAAAAACTTGCCGGAAATACTCGTTTACCAACTAAAACACATTACTAGTACATCTCGATAAATTTGGTACAGTTTTCACTCAGGAAAACTGTGTTAATGTACGTACTTACTATTGGACAGTAATTACTTTTAGCTCTCCAATTGGAACTAAACTTATGAACACCGTTGTTTGGACTCTTTAAGCTAACCCAGGTTTCCGTTTGATGGTCTACTTTTACAAAAAGCAAATACAAAAAAACAAAATGCGTAAATCTGAGTCAATAATTACATTCACTAAGTGGTGTTCGAGTCACGCATGGTATCAGAAACAATGAAAATGTTTAATTTTCAGGACTTAAGATTGTGTAGTTTTAAATTGGAGTTTGTGCTGCTGAGGTATAGTATGAAAAGTCGCTGACAAATAAACATTAAAGAAAATTCGTTTTTTGCATGGTGTAATTGAAAAAGAATGATCATAAGAAACAACAAATACTTCAGGAAAAAAATTAAAAGACTCACCCAGCGAGCCAGTAAAAAATAGCACCATCAGCACTACCACTTACAAACAGGGATTCATGAAATGGATGCCATGCAACACGCATAACATCACGTTTATGACCCCGAAAAGTTTGTAACTCTGATTTAAGATTACGTAAATCAAATAATTTAATCAAATGATCTCTGGATGCAGTTAAGAACCAGTTGCCATTATCATTCCACGAAACATCTGTACAAGTATTTTTATGTACATACCTACAAATGAACCATGTTAAGTGTAATTAGTGATACCCATATTTTTGTTTCGTATATTACTGATGGATAGAAAAAGTTAAATTGCTGAGAAATATTATAAAACACCTAATCAGTGTGCAACTTTGGATTAGGAATCTGTCTTAGTTCAAGTGAACTCATTCAGACAAGGTTTACAATGTGGCCTACTAGGGGCTAATCGTGAAGATCCTGCTATTAGATACTCTTAAAAATATATATAAATTTCTTCTGGAACAAATGAATTTTGTATAATCCCCACCATATAGTTAAACGAAAAGTATTTTTTTAGTTACTCAGAAGTATACTTTGTAACATAAGTATTTGATAATTGGAGACACTTCCTTAACGCGATTTTTATCAACGACAGACTTAAATTCTAAGACCATATGAACTAAACCAAATTTAGAATACACATCAACATCTCAGCAAACACTTAAAATGTAGTACCTTTTGCACTAATTCATTGAGAGAAACTTGAAAATTCTGATGTAGACTGTACTGCGATAACAAACAACTCTAAATTCCAGTAACTGCATCGTAATTTAATTTGAAGGCACTAATCTTTAAAATCCAAACCCCGTAAAAAGAGATGACTAATAGTCATATTGTGTTGGTTTACAATTAAGCTTGATAAAATATCACATCATTCACTAAAATTAATCATTGATCACAGGTCATTTGGTTTTAAATATATGGGATTCAAAAATGTTAGCAGATAAATACAACTATTACGCCTAACGAAGTGAGGGAAATATTTATGTCGAATAGTCCAACTTTTCTTAATTGTTTCGAGATAAGCATATCAATATCTGAGTAATGACTTTGTTTATTTAGAGATAACTTACAATGTAGATACAGATTCGCCTGTTTTGGGATCCCATAATTTGATAGGTTGCTGTGCATCTTTGCTACCAGATATTATGAGAGAAAGGACAGGATGCCAAGCTACACTACGAACATCAGAACCGTGACCTAAAAGAAAAGCACATATTTCGTACGTTTTACTACACATAGGACCTATACTATGTCGCAGTAGATGGTAACACTATCTCTACTAAAATGAACACTTATTAATAAAGAATTTATATAATAAATAAAATGAATGTTTATTGACAAAAGAATGCAGCTGTAAGTCTTTAAGTTAATATTGGAGGTCAACTTTAAAAAAAAGTAGCTGATAAACAAGGATCATTTGCTACATTTTGATTTGAAACAAGTACCCGGATATTCTTCGCAAACATTCAATCAGCTAGTCACAACGTAGAACTTCGTACGTACGTACACCAGTTCGAGTTGCCATACCACAGCACAGAGATGCAGTTGTCGACTCAAATCCCATAGTGGTAGAAATAGTAAGAGTATAAACAGTTATTCAAGGAGTATAATCCAGTGAAATAAATTTGGAAAGAGAAAAAAGATAGAGACATGAAGAATTCAGAATTTGGCAGAAAACAAAGAGTGCATGCGCCTTCGCCATTGTAAACGATTTTGAGCCATGTCATTCAAGATCTCTAAACATCGGTTGTTATCATCTCGCGGATCCCAACCAGACAGTCCACACCTACCAACATGGCTCAGTCCACTTGACAGTGACTTCATGGATTTGTGACGTCTTGGTCTGTTTTTTTTACCAAACCTTAAGTAGAGTGGACAGTTAAAACTGATGTATTAGACCACAGATTATGTTATAGCATGGAAAAATCAAAGTAACTATTGTGGTTACATAAGTATGAATGTATGGGAGAATAAGTAAGCAAAATAGATGGTCTTTTCTAATTATTTGAAGCACACTTTCATCTCATTTCATATTTCTTTCTGTACCATGTTTCATGGTAAAAACATATCAAATTTGACTTTGTATAGCGGACTATTCAGTTTTATCAAGTTAATATTAGTTACAACTTGTAGTTTCTAAACTGAAAATTCAACAAAGATATTACCGAAACTAATTTTAGTGGATATTGTTCTATCCGTATAATTCAACTTTCCCATGCCGAGAATGTTTTTGAACATCAAAAGAATCTAAGTTAAACAATGAGGTAATTATCATGGTGAAACCAAACTCAACGAGAGTTTACTTCCTTGTGTTCTGAAGTCAATTGAAATGCATGTAAAACGGTCTATTAAACGTAGCTAAAAGTATGAGACTGTCTTCGTCCATATGTTCTTTGCTACTACCGAGTCAATGATAACCTGATTGAAAGTGCACATAAATAAATAATACCAATACCATAGAGATAAGCTTTGACACTGAATACATGGAAAGAATCGTGAGCCGAATTTTTAGCCGTATTCCCAATACAGAATTTCGATATCTTCAAAAGGCGGAAAATAATTGCTAAATACCAAGTAAATAAGACTTCTGAATTGAATAATACGATGGTCACCAATCCACAACTTATTATTTATTTAAACACATAAATATTGGTACAAGGAAGCACCAGATACATATGCGCCTCACAAATCTCATTTGATTTGTGTGAGGGCTTTTCCTAATCAACTGAAAAGCATTCGTTCGCCTTTAATGACAGAATGTCAAACTTTCTTACTAAGGACAAGTATTGTACGCGAACACGAAAATAGCAGTACAATTTTATCCCAACAACTGATTTGAGAATCTGAATCTAACTCTCTGTGGATGGAAAACATAGCTTTATTGCGACTGAAACTGTCACAACATACGTATATACCCCCCCCCCCGGAGAAAACTTATTTTCAGTGTGACGTAGTTATATATAGGCAATCTAACACTAAAATTGTTATCTTGGTTGCAATTTTGATTTATTCGAAAACCAATGCGTAAACCTTCATCATTATTGACTATATCTCGGGTTGTTGAAACAAGATTTTTTTAAAAAGCACCCGACTTCTTAGCGGAGTTAAGAGCAAACACATGAAATTGGAATTTCATGCATTAACGGATGCTACCAATCACAACCATAAATTTACAAACGACTAGTTCAAATCCCAAAAACCTTATTTGAATTGTATTTTCCAAAGCTGATAAACATAAAAACTAGCTAGGAATGTAGTTAATTGACTTTGATTTTGAGGCGCATGTTGGCAAGACAATTTTAACCGTACTCACCTCGGAGCACGCGCTCCTCAGCACAACGATGAAAATCCCAAATACGTACGGTAGAATCATCACTGCAGGTAACGAATTTATTGTCGAATGGGCAGAAACTACAAATGATAAAAGACAGTATTTCATTAAGATTTTATTTCCTACAGTTCCGATTTATATGCTAGTCCTGAAAAACAAGTGTGAATAAGTAAAAACATCTAGAGAAGATAAATGCAGCCTAAGTGACGTAACTCTTCAAAATGATCAAATTATTGTACACCCTGGTGATATTAAGACTGAGCTACTTCTAAATACTTAACGTTAACAAACCACTTCCATTAACGGAATGAACTAACTGAAACAAGAAATTTATCAACCTAAAATGGTGGACGGACTAGCATTCAATCCTAGTCATCTAAAACTCTACCACAAGCGTAAATTAATCGGATATCAATTCAGGGAAGTTTCCTACACTCCATGGACTATATTCATCTTTCTAAAATATAACGGCGAACATACAAAACCAATGGCTTAATGATATACATCTATAACTACCTGTTTGAATTAATGTTTATCGCGTATAGCAAATGAATATATATGACAAAGCTGACACTGCTTCAAGGAAGTGGGGACATATGGCAAATTTTGGAATACGTCCAGACGATTAGGGAATACAACGTTCAAAAATAGATCCGTTACAAACTCTGGTATTTGGATGAAGAAACCAATCTACAATTATTGGCTCTGAAAAACCAGAAAACTTTAATCGGAAGGTCTATTGACGAAGAGTTAGCTATACTTTGTAGATGAGCATGACTTTTGAAATAATACTGTTTAGATAATTTATTTCTATTTACACCTCTACAAAGATTGGGACTAATATGTCCGGAGTTGAGTGACGCTCAAAAACCCTCGTATTCACATTCCCACAAATGTATGATCCAAGATTAGATGTCATAACAGAAAAGAGTTAACGTCCTGTTATATAAACGAGCCAAATATATAAAAAGGAAGTTGCTTCTATATCGATTGCAAAACAAAAAGCTATTAATACGGCAAACGGTGGATGATTCATTCTGAAACAGGAAAGTGATCGATGTATAACGCGGTAGTCATAAACAACAAGTACAAAATAAGGGGTTGAAAATAGATTGCAGAACAGAAATATTAATTAGGAGTAATGCTGTACAGAAAGCGCATTTCTATGAATTGAACAAAATACAAGACAAACTGTTCCATTCACCGATGGTAAACAAATACTGGCAACCTATATTCTGATAGTCATAGTGAAAATACAATGGACCTACACTTCATCTCAACTTTTTTATATGCTAAGCGTGACTCACGAAAAATTAGTAGTAACATATTCAGAAGTGCACAGCTATTGGTCGGTAAACGCAAGTAATTCAAGTAATGATCATCATACATTTTTGTTTTGAACCTTGCGACGATAAAATGTTAGTTTGAGTGACAGAATACTTAAACCGCAAACCAATTTCTATACTACAACTTCAATATAACGGGCTCGTTTACAACTCACTGTTTTAATTTTGGCAGCCATTTTAACAGATTATAGGGAAATAAATGCACACAGTGGTTACATTTAGATACACTGCAATAGTATTGCACCGCCCTCATTATGATCCTAAAGAGATATATTCCAAAAAAGTATTGGTAAATCTCAGTTAACTGAATCACTGGATCTGGTAACTACAGGCTAGAAAACATTTCTGATAGTCAACTAAACAACAGCTACTATCGCGTCTAATTTTACTCACAAAACTTAAACGTATCAAGTAATATCATTCAAAAATACTTTAATAGATTTGCCTGTTAAACATGAACCATTTCTAGCTCCCAGAAAATGTTCTAAGACACCAGTATTTATGTCATTAAAACTCGTTCGAGTCTTTAGAAGCAAAGTGATAAAGTTAATAGATTTCTTACAACCTTAATAACTTAACCAACTTATGTTTTAACACTTTCCCCAATTTTACCAAAATATCCCCGTAAAAGTAATGCAAAACTCGAACTACCCAAGCTACGAGCAATATATATAAGACCTTTATTAGGCCTACAATTTTACAACTGGTGTATTTTGTGCTTAAAAATAAACAGTACAATTTGTAAAATAAATCTAGACAGTTGTTAAATATAGTCATCGTTTTATGTAGAGTCAAAGTTGTTGAAACTGAACAAGATGATTCCAAACCAGGAAAAGCGTACCTTACGCCACGAATTGGTTCCTTATGTGCTTGATACATTTCAACATTGTTCATATTAGCTTGCCAATACTTTACATATCCAGAATGATCAGCAGTGAGTAACCATTCTTCGTTGTGAGACCATTTCATACAACGGATTTGCGACTCATGGGCCTGTGGTAAAAAGTATAGCTCAATAACTCACATTAGAAATTTCACCGTAAAATTAACAAGAAATCAAGGTGGCTAAATCAATGAGTAATGAAACGACACTTGTAGAAAAAATATTTGAGTAAACTATCACTTTATAAGTCCCGAAACAAATTTGTTATGAATAACGGTGACTTCATTTTCAAAGACAAGCCTAGCGCGAATACCAAACAGAACTACATGCGAGGATCCCTCGGAAATGAGAACTAGAAAATACATTTGGGTAACACATAAAATACGTAACCCAACAAATACATGTGAATATGCAATCTAGGTTATTACCCTAAATAAGCAATAATATTTTAGTCATGGCATTTACACAGGAAACGATACCACGATCTGATGGAAAGCTACTCAACATCTCCCCAAAAATGGGTTTATGGTAGTGATGAAGAATTACCGTTATTTATCCTAGCCAATCCAGTTATTTGTGTTGCATAGTATACGCGCAGTACAAGGTCCAAATCGTTAACAAAATTTGAGTACTCTGGTAAGTACAACCAGAAATGACATATACAAAAGAGGTTTATTTGTCTTTTAAAAATGTTAACCGGAAATTACTGAAGTGGTATCTCCCTAGTCACAGAATGTGAACTGATGAGCATGTCTGATAGAAACAAAAGAATTTGTAGTCCTCCTTTAGGTCTTTTGAGCCAGAAGTGGTGCGTCAAAATACATGAAGATCACATCCTACACGCAACTATAAATACCGATGTTTTACCAGTCTCACAAAGAGATATTTTTGAGTGAAAATTTGATTGGAACGGCAGGTCCCAGGAACTAATGACTTTCCATGAAATTTATGAGATCCCAAGTATAATAAAGGAGAACCCAATTAGGAACAAGCCGCCATACCCGGGTGCCCCCTTCACTTTGCCCCCAAATGCCCTGGTACGGCCGAGAGTCCGCTCTCCCTCTCAAAACGCTCTCACATGGCCACGCGAATATATAGCCTCTGTCAGGGAAGTCCTACTCACTGCCTTCTCGTGGCGGGGGTGTTGTATACGAAATTGAGAGGACGAAAAGCGAATGTCAGACGCTTTGACCGGGTTGGTGGGCACGGTAAGTTCACCTAGGGGAGTTGGAAAACCCTGATTCCAAACTAATGGTGCACATGGGCTTTAGTATCCTGAAGGAACAAATAGCGAATGAACCAGTTGTTGGTCACCGGCTACCATGGGACTGCATCTCCTCACGATGCTCCACTGCCTTGTGGATCAGACCTTCAGGTCGAAGGCTCGGGGTGTGGTCCCCTAAGAAAACCACCTGCTTCAGTCTGGGCAGTATCACAGCCCTCACACAAATCAAATGAGATTTGTGAGGCGCATATTTATCTGGTGCTTCCTTGTGTCAATATTTCTGTTTAAATAAATAAAATATAAAAACAAGCAGGAACATGGATAAGAAACATGATTTCAGTCCAGACTTCAGCTGCTTACTGATGCCAGTAGTAAAATTTTGTTAGAATAACACATGAGTGAACGAAGACTGAAATTCATAGAACTTCATATTTAGGATGAAAAGGTACATCTGGACAAACTGATTGATTTATACTGTCGTTCTTAGTAAGTATATAAAAAGAGAATGTCTGGCAGTTACACAGCGACCACAAGCAGTCCACAATGTAAGAGGAACTAGGGATTTAGTTTTCAATACGCTTAATGAAGGCATCTTTTGGTTACATGGTGATTTATCAGAAGCACGAATTAGTTAGTACTATGGGATTTTCCTCGATGAAAGGTTAACGGGAACGGTTTTCAAAAGACTGAATAAATATGATGAAAGGAATATTAAAACCGATCGAAGTGAAAATCACCCTAGACTTTATGTCCAAATATATAATGGATCTGACACGGAGAGGAGTATGTGACAAGACTGCTGGTACACTTCATCTTAACGGTGAGTCGCAGATTGGGCGCAACAGGAATATACAATTAGTAATGCAACTAGTGGGGCAATTGTGAGGAACTTCACATTGAAGACAACGTATGCAGTGCTTTTCGTTGTAAGCCATCAATACACTGAAACATAGAATAGCCTAGGTGATTTTAAGCACTACTTTCTACAACCGAAATTGTGTTGAATTTTACTAACCCTTCATTAACGGGCATGATGATAATCCAATAATATACGTACAAAAAGCGAACTGGTGATATTTACAAATTCGGTGAACGACTACAGAATCATTCGGGATCAATAAGACTACAAAACCAGGGCCCGTAAAATCGTCATAAACACAAAGAAATATAAATGCCTCACCTGTAAAATAGTCTCGAAATTGAACGTCAAACCATTCCACAAAGTAAACTCACCACTGAAAGCTCCTGTTATCAACCGCCTCCCTTCAGGTGTCCACTACGAAATAGTAAGAAAAGTGTCTACCTACACAAACGCAATATATGGGGCATTTATTTTTGTTAGTAGATGTACGAACAGGCTTCGACATGACGCAATTCATGGGAGAGTTCATATAACTCCTAGGAGGACACAACTGACAAATAGGAATAGCCACCATTTAATATTACCTTAGGACTCCACAAGTAATCCGGCTGGAGCATTGGACGGTCTAAGTCCCTACTGACCCAAATCCTGTTTTGAAGGTAATTGATGGCAGAAGCATTATAATCGATTGTTCTTCTGAATACTGCCTTCCTTGATTTACGCGCATCTGCCATTAGGTCAGATACATCTTTCTTCAAAGCATTCGGGTCGCCAGAAGGAGAATCCAACATCCCAGGGTTTTCCAGCATCGGTCAGGCGAAACTAACAGTTTAATAACGTGTTACAAACATGTAGTCCAATACGTAGTTCCCGAGGCGACAACGAACCCGCCAGGAAAAGCATCGACAGCAGTTAAACATAAAAAACCCAAATTAGCGAAGCTTTGCAAAAGAGCTAAATGCATGTATTTTCCTGAATATTAGGTGCCCAATATTGCACACAACGTGCTACATATCCCTCCTAACTAATACCCAGCTTAGATCAAATGCTTCTCAACATATTGTAGCTGTAAATAATTCCCCAAAATCAATAGCTTTCTAAGTGTTCGACATTGGATGTTGACTACATTGTTTTAAGTGAACTTGTTTAACTGAAGGCTTTCGGTCATGCATACGCACCAGATCACGATACGATACAGCGTGGGACACAGCTACTACGTTCACTAACCAGTTTAGAATAAACGCTTCGCAATATGTTGATAACGTATCAAATATATCTTTCCTACCTCTTCTCGTCTGACTTCTGATTTCCATTGGTTAGGGGAAAGCTTCGTATATAGAAGGTGCTACTGGTAGCAGGTTATAAAATCAGAATACTAGTCGTATCTTCAGTAGGAAACCTCTAAACCTATCAAGGACGCAATCAGTATCTCTGATTGTCTGAGCAATAGTGACTTATTATTTTCAGTTTATAGACTTCTAAGAACACACGTTGTCGTTACTACACCGTGAAACAAGTGAAGCGTCTTTCTTTCATAAAATACCGCTATTAACTGGGGATCTTTCAATTGTAAGGTTACCAGATGTAAATGCAGGGCACATGCTCTCATAACAGTTGTTTTAGGTGCTAGCCACGCTGGAAACAAAGTAAATCAATCTAAAATGTACTAGCTGTTATTGGTTTCTTCGTTTACAAGTTGGGCGTACGAAAGTTGGTCGTATTACTCGAGTATCTGAACCTTTATCTTGTTCTGCGTATTGTTGTTTGTGGATCTATGAGAATAAATGTTTGACAAATTGACTGTTGCTCCACGCTCCCGTGCTCTGTTACCATGGTTTACTGGACTCATCTGATTAAAAAACACAAGCATTTAGTAGTTACAAATCTAAACAAGAGAACGCTCAACATAGACAAAGTAAGCTCCATGATGTATGATATCCACTTGTTTAGGCCTACAGATTAGGTTAAACAGCGTGTAAAATCTGATATGGTCTTCTTAATACCATTTCCCCAATATCACTTGCGGCATAACAACTGTCAAGAAATTTGGACCAACTTTAAAAGGCACGCTACACACAAACGTCTTTCAAAACTTCTATAGAGAGACATACGTCAAGAGGAAATAATGAAAAATTCACGATTGTTCACGCCCTGTTCCCTTTATTCACCTGAGTTCGCCCTTTTCGCCATATTTTGTTTGAGATGTAGCGCACTACTACGTGCCAAATGCAAGGCATAAATATTATTTATGTGCAGTCGTAAAGTACAAAATTTAACAGCTCTTTAGTGAACCAACTAATAAATCGATTACAATTTGTCTTACTATAGCAAAAATGTAGGTATGACTACAAGTCAGTGGAGCTGCGAAATTAATCGACTGCCTCAGTTCGGGCATCCGAGCAGTATCTCAGCTCACACACAAATCAATGGTAATTAAAAGTGGGTGTAACTTGTTTGGTTAAAGGATTCTTCTGGTCGTACTTTCACTAACCGAACTGTTTCCCCCATAATAATTATTATTTCACTCTCATACACTAAATTCTGTTCGTTGTTTTTCTCCTCTAAATTATAAGCACTTTATACCCTAAATCTCTTCAGGACATTATTATTGTGTGGCGTAAATGTATTTGGTGCCCCTTGTACCGTTATTTATGTCTTCAAATAAATAATAAAGATGATCATAGCTCATGTTCATTCATAATATGATTTAAAAAATCAGTGTATACGAAGAAAGAAAGTGTAGCTCATTCATAAAACACAATGAACATAAGGCACAAAAAGAACTCGCGAACGGATCCTCATGATTTCGAACCATAGTTCTGCTCATGATAATACTTTAGGCACGACAACGTCTAACTAAAGCTTTCCTTACCTTACGAGAGATACATCTTGTTGAAAGCCGTAAACTACCAATTGAAAATCCCAAAAACATTGTGAACATGTTTTATTTTTCATGGAAACGATGAAGAATGGGAAGAACAGACGGGGATTTTCGATCATGATATACAGTCTTGCTCACAGCCATCTTCGCTCCAATAGACCAATCTCAGTTATAGTTCATAGCGACGACTGAGAATTGTCACATCCGAAATCAGTGTGAATTATTTGTGACACAAAGTTGTTTAATTTGCCTCTCGATTAGTTTGTAATTGTATGACAGACTCCAATCTCTGTCTAGAGGAATCGGTCGACAGTTTATTCCTCGTGGTATGTACATTGATGGTGGAAGAGCGTTTCTGATTGCGGAAAGGTACGACTCATGTTACGTTTATTGTGAAACAGGAAGCTTTAATAGACTAGTAGATGCTGGTAATGGTATTTGTGAATTAACGCGTTATACAGTAACTCCATGCACTTTCGAAACAAAATTATGGTCCAGCCGTATTCCGAAAGACTTTGGTGACGGTGCCAGTACTAGAGCTTCCGATGATAAGCTCCATAGTTTGATTATCATAACCACGTGAAAACTATCGAAAATTTAGTGGGAGCAGCTAATCTTCCCCAAACTCCTTAATGAATCAATTCAGATTTTCATACATGTTCGGATCAGTTTACCGAGATCAAGATACTTTTAACGACTGACCACCCAACATATAAATTCGTGTATAAATAACTGCTTGCATGTTGCACCCATATCATAAAATACAAATATTTAACTTTATGACAGCCTCAACTATCCACATTTTCACTTTTCTGTCTCAGCACTATGTGCTTTTGTTCTTTTGTTATATACTACATTTTCTTCTTCATTAACTATTAACTAAACATGTCTCTTGAGTTCTATTCTGTTCTCCACAAAATCCTACTGAAACATTGGTGATGCTGTATACACTGGGCATTTAAATCATCTTGGACCACGACACAATAAAACTTGACGCAATTATCATTATTATTAGAGACTTCTTGGGTGAAAAATCAGAAACACTTAGAAACTGTTCATTGGAACCACCATCAACCATAACAATGTGGAACCCTTCTGACTTATTAGTCATCGGTTTTCAATTCTCACCATATATATTACTGTCTAACAACTTATTTTCGAATCCCTACTCATAACCTTAAAATTGTGATATCCCATAACTCTTTCATCGACCAGTTTGTTCTGGCTATCTTATTTTGTTTGGAAGTCCATGATCTGTCCCATACTGCTATGCTTTACTGTTCCAACGCTCTGCCAACAGTTTTCTAGCTTTAGCTGTCAGATACACTTGTTCAAGGTACTCGAAGATTAGTGTTTCCCAACAGAGTGCGAAACATAGAGCTTTGGAGCAAGGCATAAGAACAATACAACCAACAACTTAAAGGAGACTTGCGCCGAAACAGGAGGGAGAGTGCAATTGATGACCAACAAACATTGATAGGTGCAATGATTTCAACCCACCCATCATTGTGGGGCAGAACCTTTGGGTTGTCTCCAGCTATTTATGATTGGTAACGAAGTAACTATCTCAAGATAGTGATGTTATTTTCCCGCTTTTGCTACCTCTTAAACACGTGCTTTCCACCTTATGTTGGTCTTGCTACTTCGCTCCATCACATGCACGTACAGGCGCTTAAGCACGAACCCGACAGTCGGCACTGGATAATAACAACTGAAAATATCAATAGATATACAATAAGTATATACTGCTGAGGAGTCCCACGATAAGACGAAACGGTCGTTCAGTGCTTCCAGGTTTTCCGTGGTGGTCTAGCTCCAATTGAATCATGATTCCAACCATTTAAAATTACTGAAATCTCCACAAAACCCCTTTCTGAAAATATACAAAGGCTATGATGACGAGGTCATACGAAAATTTAAACACTTCTATTAACCATTTTGACTGCAACTAAACTCTACTGAGTAGTAATATTAACGTTATGATTTATTATGATCTACGAATCGTTTCGAGTCGGGACAAACGTTTACGGATGTTTTCCGGATTTCATTAATACTGTCTCTTCTTTCACTACCCATAAGAACACACCACGATAAAAAGGCTAAGCCATAACTTAGACCAGCTTACGAAAACTTTAAGGTCAGTCTGAATGGAATGTAATTTTGCGTGGTATGCTGATTCTTTTGATATTTTGACGTCACAAGAGTAAAATACCGAATTTTGAATGGTTTAAAAGGCGTTTTCCGATTGACGGCTTTTTAACAACTGGAGAGTCATTTAGTGTGGATACATGGAATGTCCGGACAGATTGGAAGGCTGAGAGGGTCATTCAGACAGCAGCAGAAATGAGAAGATACAACCTGGTTCTACATTGGCTTATTGGGACGTGTTAGACATAATCTAGGCTATAAAGCTAACTCCTAGGAGCTGTTGCTAGATTCTGGCGATTAAAAGGAAACACCCTGCACAAATTGAAGTTGCTCTGACTCTTTCCAAAAAATGCCTATTGACTAAAATGGGAAATGTTACGGCTAAATGATTATCGAGCCATCCTTCAAAACAAAGAAGGAAGGAATTTATGTGAATGCCATCCAGTGTGACGGACTAACCAATAATATCATCCGAGCGATTGGGGAGAAACTTAAAGAATTTAACTTCCCTTGAATTATTCCCTCGAATACCTAGAGATGGTCAACACGGATGTATTTTGTAAACCATTTTTCGTCATTGTTCACATTTAACACAATTTTAATCCAACTAAGTAATGCAGACGAGATTAGGGCACAGACCTAACATACAGAAGCAGACGAATTAGAGAAAAAGAATACTAGAGCTGACAAGGGGATATATATAAGACTCAATGGTTATAGCTAGATAAGATCAACGATAATGAAATAAAGAAGAGCTTGTGATACAACACAGGAGACTACAGAGAAATATACTAGACCAGAAGGACCAGTTAAAAACAAGCGTAGCAGGAAAAGTGTGTAGAACGCTTATAAGAGTTCTTGAAATAATAATAATAATATATTTCTGCATTAGCAGACCCACCAAACCCAACTGACATAAGTGGAGTATTATCAAACCTCTCAATGGATAATACCTTGCCAACAATTGAAGGAAGTGTCAGGGTCATCAA